TGATCACCTTCGAACATAAAACTATTGATTACTGTCTGTCAGCGCACTATAAACTAAGAAGACAGTAAAGGAAAATATTTCACCTGAACAACTAGGCGAAGAAGAATTAAAAATAGAGGTACACTTCAAACATGCTAGATTAGTGATATTTTGTCGAAAACGATCATTTTTCATAATTGATATAATCAAAACGATTTTATTGAATCAGATTATAAGTTACATGTAGATGTGCTTTCGTCCATTGAATTTCAGAAAATAAATATTGTAGCCACATCGAAAATAGCTGATGATGCTGTATTATTGATTTTTTGGATCTGATGGATAGCAGTAATACAATTACAGTTTGAAATAGTACTTTGTAATATTTAAGGAAGCATATTAGTCTCATAGTTTCTTTCTCGCCATTGAACAACAGACTTGTTTTGTTATAGAACTTTTTAAAAGTATCACAATATGTTACCTTTTCACATTTTACAGGATTAGAAAAAGCTACGTACAATTTTATCACTATATTAAAATTCGACATTTATGGAAGTTAACAGCCGCATTATCATTTATGTTTACTGTTGGGTTCTTCATTGGTTCAAGAACATATTTAAACCAAGGGATTCCCAAATCGTTCTTTTTTCAATATTTTCCAATGGCTCCTGGAGCTGTTTCGGAGAACAATATCATAATTAGTGTTCTTCTTGGTCTGTCTTTGCAAACAACATATCGCTTCGTTCGTTCAGCTCGAACTAGCTGTAGCAGCTGTCACATAGTCTTGTTTCTTCATAGCCAAACGATTGCTGAAGAAGATTTCCTTCAACTCGCCAGTTTGTATTCTATCACTTATATTCCGTACGATATGTGGACGCCATCAGACACATCAGTGAGATGGCCCTCCATTGCAACTGCGTCACTGCGCTGGATCATAATAAGTCAATACTTGAGACATCTTGATAAAATGCAAACTCGATACAAGTACATTTTCATATGCGATGCTCGTGATGTTATATTTCAACAAAACATCTTCAACTATGTAAACCAATATGACCAAGGTCTCATTGTATTTCAAGAATCTGCTAAAATGACCATTAAAAAATGCAGCTATAATTCCAAATGGATTAGAGATTGTTACGGTGAGGAAGAACTTGAACGTATTGGAAATCGTTCGATCATTTGTGCCGGTACAATATTGGGCTCATGGAAAGCTATGCTTGATTATTTGTCAATAGTGGAGCAAATTACAAAAAACAGATACCGAGAGTGTAACGACCAAGGTATCCACAATTATCTAGTCCACAGAGATGGTGTTAACAACACTAAAATTCACGTTATTACAAACGAAAATGGCTTTGTAGGAACACTTGGATATCCAGGAACTTATATTCGCAATAAATTTGGACTTATCCTTAATCAAAACGAGCAAGTCTATGCTGTTCTTCATCAATTTGATCGAATTAAGCAGATAAACGATCAAATCGACATCGAATACCAACTATGGCCAACTAATACACGACTTTAGCTGGTTTATTCTAGAATCACCCATCTATAGTACAACATGAGTCTATCAATCGATTAAAGAAATACTCTAAGTCAACCTAATCCATATTTGAATTGATATCACTCATCGTGCTCATCACATATCATCCTTCATTCGGCAATAGTTTCTTCAATTTCCCTTGAAAAAATTGGCGATCCGACTCTTTGTATGCAAAATTTTGTTGATTGAAAATTGATTCAAAAGAAGTTTTTCATTATTTCCTAATCATAGTTCACTTTCACGAACAGAAAAATCTTATTTCTCACCTTGTAATTTGATAACAAGAATTGAGTCCTTTTTTTTACTAGAAAACTATAAGAGTGTGGATGGATGTGATTGAACACTCAATCTACATTCACATCCAAATTGCTTCGGACTTTTTTTGCGATCATTTAATCACGTTTAGAAGACAACATTCATCCGCACCTATAAATATTCTTTTATCTTAGATACAAATAGTCTCGTCAAACACTGTTTTGCATTAGGTTTTTTCCTTCGAAGAAACCAAATTGTGACAAAAAGATTCAGAAATTAGTGGAAAAATAAAGTATATCGTCATTCAATAAATCACCTTAAATTACATGTTTAAAAACTGCTTCATCTCAGTCTCTGTAAACCATTTTTTCATATTATCCGGTGCAATAACCTGCTCTTCGGCTCTTTCATGTTCATTGACCAACGTTGATACTTTATTAACGAGTGAAGTGGCATCGACAATAGCAGTGCTAATATCTTCGTGCGAGTTTTTGAGCTGTTTGAGGCGATGAGAACAATTTTCAAATTCGACTAGCAGTTGTGCAAGCTGTTGATGTTGAGTTTCTAAATGTGAGATATCTATTTTACGAGCAATGATAGGAAACAAGTATCTATCTTCAATAGTATGATGATTATGAAGAAAGTGACAAAACGAATGAATATCGGAAGCTAAACGATGCAGATCTCCGATGCTTTTGGCCTGCTTACACTGTTGTTGCATTGATAAAAGTTGTTGATGATGTGTACTGTGAAAGTAGAGCATAGTTTGGTAGAGCTTTGAAAATGCATTTTGGGAGCTCATCGAGAGACAAGAGACTCTAAAACGAAATAGCATCGAAAGTTCAGCAATGTCACATATCCAAGATTTTGGAGATGCCACCACGTCTCCCGCGGGAGATGCCGCATCTCGCGCGAAAGATGCGGGTGTGGGTGTGGGGGATGCGCTTCTCTAAAGGAGTTCTTACATCTCCAGTGGTGAATGACCACATCTCTCGAGTGTGGGTGTCGCGTCTCCAGCGGGAGACGCGGCATCTCCCACGGGAGATGTGGTGGCATCTCCAAAATCTTGGATATGTGACACTACTCCGAAAGTTATGAAAGATAACTTGAAAAGCTGTAATAACTGAATTTTTTTGCATCTGTCTGATTTAATCCTTTGGTACCATACACTGAACTAAGTCTCCACTTCTCTGTGAATCTTAATGCACTTAAACTAAAAGGAATAGAATAGTAACGAGCCAACCATCTTGAAAACTCATGACACTTTAATGGCTTCATCATTCTCTTCTACTTCCATATTGTACTCATCACTACCACTACCATTACTTCTTCCCCTCGCTTATTGGTCCAGATGTCAGCATCATCCAATCATTCCATTGATCTCTCTCCTCTCTGTTAGCATCATAACTGGAATCTAAGAGTTTTCTGTCGTCTACTTGAGCCGAATTTCACATAATACCGATTTGTGACCCAACTGACCTTCTTTCCATACGTACTTGTAGTTATCAACTATTTATTAATGTGCACAAGAATGGAGTTTTGAAGTGTTGACGATGAATTCGTCGTCAATACTAGTTTTAACTCTAATTGTTGACGATTGCAAGACTTTCAGAATTCGATAATCCTCTACATGCCAGTCTCTAGCAAGAAAGATTCTTTTTCTGGGCACAAACTTAAAATCATTTCTTGTTTTTGTCTGAAAAGAGTTTCGTCGATTTAAAGGGTTATTGTTGCGTCTGACTCAATGGTTTCGTACACTATAAAGAAGGTTCAAGAGTTTGCAAGTATTCGCAACACTACAAACATTCTTTGGAAAGAGCCATAAAACCTGTTACCAACATTTTCGAATTGGTCACGTTACTCGTTATTAAGCTCTTTTTCAATCCTTTCAATTCAAGCATAAGTTCTCCCTCAGACAACCTTCTCTCAAGAATGTGCGAAAGAATACATGAGGTTCAATAGCAGAAAAGATAGTATATGAATGTTCATAGTATATAGGTGCAAGTATGAGAAAATAGAAGATCCACACCCACACTCACACTCTTTTGTTTGAGATTTCGAGTAGTATTCATCTAATTCAACTCATATGCATAGTCAGAATCTCTTGTCTTTAGAGGAAAAATTGCAAGTCTGATTCAAAGTAGAAAAATTGTCGATGAGAAAGATTAAAATAAAATTATACCGTATTAGACTTCTGTGGCATTTCGTTAGAAAATTTAACCCAACGGTCAAGCTCGATTGGAATTGAATATGTTTCAACGCTTATTTAACGAGCCAATGATAAATATTTTGAGGCTTTATTTAACTAGTTACTGATAGTTATGAAAAGTGTCTTCCCAATGACTTTTAGCATGCTGTAGAGAAGCAAGATTCTAACAATTTATGATTCGATGCAATTATTTTAGCACTCAAATTTTTAATGGTTGGTTTCGAATATCAATCGCTTGATCGAAGTTTTTCATATTTTAATAGATAAAACTGAGTTGATGATAAATGAGAGAATGTAGAACAAAATTATCAAGAACAGTACTAATGTACATCTCGGGTACCAATAAAATGATGCAGTTTATTCTATTATTCATTTATTTTAATCTGTGTAATAACTAATATTATGCAATGTGTCAAACTGTAAAATGTTCTGTATAGAAGATCTTTTCTGGATTATCTCATGTTCTACAAACAAATAACAGAAATAGTATTTTTGATTTCATGGTTAATTAACTTTGCTTAGGACCAGTTCTTTCTGATTGATCACTTGTCTTTAACTGTTTGAATGTCATAGCTTTTAAGTGATCAAAACTATGTTACAAAAATTAATGATATGTGTGACTACTAGTCAAAACTGAGATATATCGATAGTATGGACGAAAATTGATGTCAAATAACAATTGTTTCACATTTTCTTTAGCATGAAATCAAGACTAAAATTACAGAACACATGTCAAATACTATTTTTATTATTGTTATTATGAATGTAATTTCAGCAATCTAAACTAACATATATAAAAGCAACTAACTACAAGTTTAGAGCTTGGCAGTTATCGGAAATGTTCAAACCGATGAACAAGGTTAACATGTTCAGGTGTATTGTATTTGAATCCATGACTATACTTCGCAAGTCATTTAAGTTTCTCATGGGTGTGGGCGTAAGAGAATAGAAGAACGACACGCACCCACACCCTGTCTTTTTTGTTGAAGTCACTATTTTTCTTGGTGCACTTTATTGGTCGAAGTGATTTTCCATTTCGATTAAATCTTGTGGCGAATATTGTACAACTAATTTCACGATACCTTGCGCTTGTTTAAGTAAACGTACAGCTGTTTCAAGATATTCATTTTCAACAGAAACACCATTCACTGATAATAATTGATCACCTTTTCTTAACTCACCATGTTCCCAAGCAACACCATATGGAGTAACATGTGATATGTAAATAGGAGAGTTTTCTTCTCGACCACCTTTTATATGAAATCCAAAACTTTCGGCAGCTTTTCGTAATTCAATAACGCGTGGATTAGAATGACCTTCAAAAACAACAAAAGCAGTTACTTAAATTTATCAAGGCTGTATATGTGACTCTGCTAGTGTAGGCATGTGGATGTGGAGATGATCCTCACTTTACCCACACCCCAAAGCATTGCCTTAACATTCTTTTGAATATCATCGCGATACTAAAGACTTTTGTTTATCGCTGATGGCGGTTGAGTAGCGGTTGATTCTTAGACACAATGAACATCTCTCATAGTAATCGATAAAAAGAACTTTTCTCATATTCAGTTTTAGTGAATCCTTCAAAAACGGTTGAGTTGTTTAGATCTTTTGTTATATCTGTTTCTAGGGAAAACGATAAACTTCCGATTAAATTCATTTCCATGTTCGAAGACTGGTGTTGAATTTCTAAAAATTTATGTGTTCTTTTTGGAAATCTGTAAAAGAGAAACAGATTGCTGTTTTTAAGTGCTTGGGTTAATGAACAGTGCCTAGATTTTGCGACTATAGCCACGAAAAGTTCTATCTAAGTAGCCAGGAGTTGAATTCAGTTTTTTCAAAACTAGTACAAAGCATAATATCCATTTTTTTGTATAAATTCACTTCATCGCCAATTCAGATATTAACCAAGACACCTACCAGAAGATAAAACAATAGAAATTCGGTGAATAAGTGCTACACTGTCTTCTTTCATTGAGAGATTGGGTGGCATATCAAGTCTTTTTGCTAATTGTGTTAGTGTTCTTTTAAGATGATTTAAATCTATCTCATTAAAATCATTTTCTAGACGTGTTTGTTTTAGTTGATCAGTTAGTTTGGCTAAATTAAGCTCTGTTTCAGTAATATTTTCAGCCGTAGTTTGAAGTAATAGTTGTCTGTATTCGTGTGCTGCTTTATGGATTTTTTTTATCGAATCTTCTTCCCATTTATTAATTTTTTTTATCAATATACGCTGTGTCGGATCATGTGCCTGTTCAGTAAGTGTTTGTCGGAGTAGATCACGATTAATTTCAATTTCATTTAGTTCTCCACTTAATTCTTGACGATGATCAGTTAAATGATTATAACAAAACAGTTTTAAACAACCTTCACATCTTACTGTACTCTTTTCTTTACCACATGTACTACATCGAGCTTTACTAGGTACTGTTGCCATGTATCAATATTTTAATATTGGTAAATGTATGTAGATGAGTTGAAGATTGAATGTGTCGAACTAAAGTTTAAAGAAAAAGAGAATACCGAATGCATTATAGAGTAGCTACTCGAGTCGAGTTCGAATAATAAATGAAAATGTCAAACTTACACAAGTACTTTCTCTGCGAAAGAAAAACACAAAAACGTATGTCAATTATAATTTATAGGGTAATTCCATGGTGTTTCTACCACGGTTACATCAAATACCTTCTATCAACGTGAAAGTCTCAGAATTTGTAGAGCTCGATTGGCTGACAATTTTGACGTGTCTAGATTTCAGAAAATATCTTGGAATCTATGATTCCCAGAAGTCGAATTTTTATAGTCTTTATTGTGTAAAATTTAACAAAAGAGTTTTTCGTGTTTTTTCATCTTTTTTTTAAGCCTTTATTGTTTGCACGTTTTCGATCGCGCAGTTTTCTTAGAAGGTCACTTTTATTCAGTTTTAATCATAGTACCTGGAGCAATACCGTTTCGAATATTGGGACCACTCTGGAAAGAATGCGAGAGGACTAAACGTCGATAGATTTTCACATATGAGATTTTAAAATAGTGAAAAGCGATTTACATTTCAATTGAAAAAAGTGTAACTTTTCGAATTTAGCAGATAACTGACATAGTGGCGAAGATAGAGCAACACTTGCTCTACAAAATGGTATGCATCGCTTTTCAGGCTAATCAAATCTATCAAAATGACAAAGGGTATAAAATCGGGCAGATTTCGATGTTTTCTGCCTATTTTTTAATACATAGCATTTGTAGAGCTTTCAATTCTAAGTATATTGATAAAAACTTTTCAAAAAGCTTTTGTTTTAACTAAGATATACTCAATATATTTTCAGCAGTAAAAATCGAAAATTCGTAAGAAAACGGTTTCTTTTGCAAAATTTTCTCCAATGCCGCTTGGTAGTTTTGTATACCCAAAACAAGCTCAGAAGTGAAATTCAAGACCATATCTGGATAACCGCTTGAGTTGTCTCAAGATGTGTACGGTATTGAAATCAGTTAATTGAATCGTCCTTCACCTTTTTTTTCATGTACTTAAACAAAATCAAGACAACAAAATTGAGCAGAAGAAATGAATTTTCTTCGATTCTCGAAAAACAGATCTAAGGAAATAATGTGAATGAAAGTATTCAAAATTTTCAGATTTTAGGACACAAATGTAATCTCAGACCCAATTTCTCGACCACAAGGAATTCGATGATCCAACAACAATATAGTTGAACTATCTTAACTCATCAAAGAACAACAAGGGCACTTTGTACAAGTCATTATATTGGAAAAATAGTTGTGCATCGAGCTTTCTCTCAATGTAAGATTTGATTAATAAACATCGGAAGATGTCATTGAATACGTTGATGGACTTTACAGCTACTCTCAAGAAATAAAAACGACATAGAGTATTAGACCAAAACTTCTATCGTTCTCTTCCTACCCAATGTGCTTTGAAATCAAAATCAGTCAGATTTATATTTTGATCGTAAGTATACTTCATAAAACACTGATTATATGTATGGCCCTATATTTCTCTCAAAAAAGATTTCACCACAACCTAGTTCACATGCGAACTCTACGCTCGATGTATGCCATTTAGTGAAGTTATTTGCATAGGGATAATTCAAACGATTCTCAAGATTCTGGTTCACTCAGTTATCATCTACAGAGAGATCGTTTCAAGAATGATTCATCAAAAACAGCAAAGTCTAATAATGGTTCTATTTGACAAACAATTTCCACTTTCGATGATAGCAATCTATGAAACTCGGTTTAAAACAACGATTTTGAATTCGTAATACTATCGAATAATAATACATAGTCTCAACTATTTCTGAATGAAAAATATTCTGTTTAATCAAATATATCGAAAATTCAGTCAAGTTCTTCAAGAGTTTGATATTTCTTTCCTTTTTCATAGAAAAATGTCTGTATTTTCTCGTTCATACGATTCCTCAGAAAACCGAGTTTGATTTTTAAGAAAAACATAAAATGATGAGAAAATGTGTAAACAAATACCTGATTATTGATAGCGACACCTATCTAGTACATTGATCATTTGGTAACTTTCAGTAGACAGATGTAAAAGAATCTTCATCACGTTCTATGTTTTTTTATTTATACATTAGAATAGCTCTGTTATGTGTGGTTCGATCTACCAGTAAGAACAAGAAATTTCTCTTGGTGATGCAACAAATGATTATCATGGACACTCGAGCCAATGAAAATATTTGATAGATAAATTCTTGTCGAATCGAGAGTTTCGTTTGTTCTCAAGAAAAGGTTTCATCAACAGCACTTACTTGAATGCAGAAAGTCAATGTCGAGGAATATTTGATTCAAATTGAAGCTGTCGTAGGTAAGCAATGATCGTATAATGATGGCTGCTTGTTTTTACATACCATAACAGTCAGTAAATGAAAACTATGGAGTATCAACATAGTGTACACAGGAAAAAAGAAAAAGAACACAGGTAAAACAAAACCTTTCGTGTGCTGTTGACACTTTCCATAGTCACTCAGATTCTTCGGGCAAATCAGTCAGAGTGTCAGTGTAAGATGTAGAGCGTACATGTAGGATGTAGGTCTGGGTGCGGATGTGTGTGTCAATGTGGATGTGGATCTGCGTGTTGCTACGAGACTGAAGAGAGAAACTATACCCACCCATCCCCGCACCTTTGATGGAACCGAGTCAGACATGTTTCAGCAGCTATCGAAATTCATTTTTCAGAAATTTTTCAATAATATCGGTATCCATTATATCATTACATAGAAGAAATTATAGAAAAAATCAATATCTGATCGAGGGCGAGGACCATGATGAGACCTATGACAAAAATCAGCTGAAGTGAAGATTGTCTCTTTGAAGCTATGGGCTCTCTTCTGGTAGTGAAGTTAAAATATGTTGTGTACTATGCAACGGTAAAGTCAATGGCTTGAATAAATCTCCGTAGCTCCCATTACATAACACTATTTTATAAAAGCAAAACAATGTCTTTATTGACCATCATGAATGTATTCTTTTTACAACAACCTCTCTCACCAAAATTCAAGGGTGGGTGTGGGTGTGGATATGAAGAGAACGTCTACACCTACACCTCTACCCTATCGGAAATTAAATGATCTTTTAGCAATTATATTTCACACATCTTTTAGAGTAGTTACCTTTATTATCATTTTGCTTCTTTAAGATTTCAGACATAAACATTCTAACATACTGAATTGATGAAATATTTCAATATTTTTTCTTTCTTCCTTTTTCATTTCTCCTCGCACATGAGCCTAAGACACTGTTGCTTTGTGCGTCGGTTACAATAGAACGAAAAATAAAGTATGTTTCGTATTCACCTTATGACATCATAGCGCATGACCACATCAACAAAAAAATCGACTGAAGAGTATTGATACAAAACACTTTTTTTGTGCTGTAGACTATTCATTGGAAGAACAAGAATAAGTTTTTGCGTTTGGATGTTTGCTTCGCCATATGCAGGTGTGTTTTACTTGTTTTTGTGCAACCATTCTTCATCGCGTGTGTAAATGATGACTCAATTTTTCTGTATTCACGAGTGAGATCCGAAAGTATCGTTAGTGTTTTCTAATAAATATATCACTTAGGAATTACATGACTAGAGAATAGCTCTTTTGGATAATAATTTCATTCATT